CATCACCATCGCCACTAGCATCAAGAGCAGTATTACCACCACACTCGTCATCTTAACCACCACCATCATCATCAGCATCATGATCATTAGCATGAGCATGAGCACCACAACCACCATCATCATCATCATCATCATCACCATACCCATCATCATCTCCATTCACATCACCATCACCACCACCACCACCACAATTATCATCACCGTCACCACCACCATCACCATTACCATCTCCACCACCATCATCATCACCATAAACATCATCAACATCAGTACCATCACCATCACCATCATCACCATCACGATCAGTATCATCAGCATCAGCATCGTCAGCATCACCAACATCAGCATCGTAATCATCACCATTATCATCATGGTACTCATCATCATCATCATCAGCAACAGCATTATCATCATCATCGGCATCACCAATATCATCACCATCCTCATCATCAGCAGCATCACCGTCAGCATTACCATCACCATCATCGTCATCATTATCATCATCGTCGTTATAATCCTCCCCCTTCTCCGAATCACAATCAACATCATCAGCATCATCATCACCGTCATCATCATGATCATCAACCGCACCATCATCATCACCACTATCATCAGCATCGCCACCCCAATCACCATCTTCATAATCATCACCATCATCATCATCATCATTCGCAACGGCATCACCACCATGATCACCATCATACACATCACCATCATCATTATCAGCAACGCCATCATCACCATCACTATCACCATCATCACCATCACCATAATTATGATTATCGACATCCTCATCATCGTCAGTCGCATCACCACTATCATCATGATCATAATCATGATCATCATCATCATCATCATGATCATCATCATGATGATGCTGATGATGATGATCATCATCATCATCATCAATATCATCATCACCATCATCGCCAGTAGCATCACCACCATCATCATGATCATCAGGATCAGCATCATCATCATCAGCAGCAGCAACAACGTTGCCATCACCAGAATCACCATCCCCAACGTCATCGTCATCACCATTCTCAACAACCGCATTAGTGGATGTATTTCGGCACATCCTCACCCTGACACGCCTCGTGGCAAAATCGGGAACTCCACCGAAGGCCCCAATGGCAAGAATCGCATGCGCTACTACGCCCATTTGGGCACACCGTTCACACGTTCCGTAGCCCCAAAGGAAGAATCGCAAGCGTGATCGCGCCTATGTCGGCACACCCTTCACACGTCCCGTGGTCTCACAACGAACTTCACCCAATGCAATGGCAAGAATCGCATGCGTGACCGCGCCCACGTCGGCACGCACCTGAAGCGTTCCGTGGCGTCATAGTGGGCTCTACGGAAGGCTACGGGGGCAAGAATCGCAAGCGTGACCGCGCCTACGTCGGCACACCCCTCGCGTGCGTGACCACGATCATTTCGGCACACCTCTCACGCGTCTCGTGGCCCCATAGGGCCCCCCACCGTGCTCATTTCGGCACACCCCTCAGCCGATTCGTCACCCCTCCAGCAGCTCCACCGAACGCCCCGATGGCAGGAATCGCGTTTGTGACCGCGCCCATGTCGGCACACCCCTCACGCGCTTCGAGGCCTCACGGGAGCTCCACTGAAAGCGCCAATGGCAACAATCGCATGCGTGACCGCGCCCACCTCGGCAAACTCCTCAAGCGTTCTGTGGTCCCATAGGGAGAATCCACCGAAGACCCTAATGGCAAGAATCGCATTCGTGACCGCGCCGATTTCGGCTCATCCGTCACGCGCTTCGTGGCCTCATCGGGAGCTCTACTGAAAGCGCCAATGGCAACAATCGCATGCGTGACCGCGCCCATGTCGGCACACCCCTCACGCGCTTCGTGGCCCCATAAGGAGCTCCTCTGAAAGCTCCAATGCCAAGAATCGCATGCGTGACCGTGCCCATGTCGGCACACCCCTCACGCGCTTCGTGGCCTCATGGGGAGCTCCACCGAAAGCCCCAATGACAGGAATCGCATGCGTGACCTTACCCATGTCGGCACACCACTCACGCGCTTCGTGGCCCCATAGGGAACTCCACCGAAGGCCCCAACGGCAAGAATCGCATGCGTGACCGTGCCCACCTCGGCACACTCCTCAGACGACTCGTGGCCCATACGGAACTCCATGGAAGGCCCCAGTTGCAGGAATCGCACGCGTGACCGCGCCAACTTGGGCATACCCCTACACGTTCTGTGGCCCTGTAGTGGCTCCACCGAAGGCCCCGCCGCCTGCTGCCCCCCAAAGCCGCGCCAACAGATGCGCATATCAACGGCAACGCGGTACATGTGAGCGTTTTCTGATTCGGCGTTTCGACAGTGGGCGGAAGGGGGGGGGAAGAGGGGGATTTGGCTCCGGACCTCTGCTTAAAGCGACTGTTTGTAACAACATGTCCGATGAGGGAGGGACTCCACCTGCCTGCTCGAAACAGGCGCCAAAAACAGCCAAGATCTACACCATGGGTGGAGTACGACGGCCCGCGCCGTTCGGCAAAGCAACGAATATGAAAACGAGCAGCATCCAGATGTAACCGGTCACGGCCGGCCTCTGCGACTCCATCAACAACGTCGCCCTGTCCTTCTCACGCACGCTCTTTTGCTAGCCGCTAGCCCCCCCCCCCTCCCTTGGTTACCATTCATCTTGCGGTGCTCACGGCTGCAGATGGTAGGGTCCTTCGCCAGGCTAGGTTTTGTTGTTTTTGGACGTCCTGACAACTCTCTTCTGAAAGGCTTTCCCAGTGTGAAATTGGAAAATCCAAATCCGCCGATCCTGTCGGCGTCTCCGTCGGTCGTCGCCTCCGTCGTCCCCTTTCCCTGCAGCTTCCTTCTCAAGCTCGTGAGCGAAAGAAAAATCGAGCAGTGTCGCAATCGAGTCGAAGGGAAGCCCCTTCCCTTTGATCCCTTCCCCAGGAGGGGGGGGTCCCGGGGGGGGGGGTCCCGGGGGGGGTCCCGGGGGGGTGGGGGGGGGGGGCAGATTCGTTTTTCCTCGGGCGGCCTAGAAACCTCGAAAACACTCCAAATGAGGTCCGAATGCCCAAGATGGCCCCCGAGACGGCCCAAGAGGGCCCCGAGTCGCCCAAAGATCGGCCGAAAACGCCCAAGATAGCCCCAAGACCGTCCAAGAAGCCTCCAAGACGTCCCAGGCCCCCTCCAAGAGACCCCCAGGAAGCCCCAAGAGACCCCCACGAGGCTTCCAAGCGGCCCCTAAGAGCTTCCCAAGAGGCCCACCAACTACCCCCAAGAGGCCCCCAAGAGCGCTCGTCGTCGTCGTCGTCGTCGTCGTCGTCGTCGTCGCCATTCAGGGTCGGCGGCACCGGCCGTAAGGCCTTCGCAATACGGGCCACGAAGGTTCCACCGCAAACCTTGTAGCACTTACGAGCACCCCAAAATACTACCTAAAGACGTTCCTCGCCCTCCCGAGGGAAGGGGGGCTAAGTTAGGGCCCCCCTCCGTTGTCTATCGACGGTCTCATGGACCGGCCGACGAGGGCCCCCGATGGCCCCCAGGATGGCGCTGGGAGGGCACCAAGACGACAGCAAACGCTGCCCAAGAGAGCCCCCAGCTCGAGATGGTCGACTCTGGTGTTGTACGTGTGTCCGCTGCCACGAAGAGCTCAAGACTTCAGGGCGCGAGGAGTGTGCAGACTGGAGGGCGGCTCCCCGCTCTCTGCGACACCGTGTGTCCCTACAGCCCTCTGATCAAAGAGACCGTCTCTGGGTGGGCTGGTTGGGGGTACTTTTTTTTGATCTGCGGCCCGCAAGGAAAAGTCCAGAGGGCGTGGTAATCGAGCAAACTGGGGCACAGTGCCAGATAATTAAAGCAGCCAAGCTGCTGGAGACGCAGGCCAAGCGGCAAGACCACAGCCCAACGGCTGGAGACCGCGCCAAAAACTGGTTGGGGGTACGCGGAGCGTCGAGAATACCACCAGCCCTCTGTGCGCAGGTGGTCTAGCACGGTCTTCCCCATTCTCTTCCAAAACCCACCCCCCTGCAATTCGGGGATGGGTGCCCTCCACCTCCCGACCCTGAGGTTGTTTCGGGGGCCCCGCGAGGTGGCATAGGGTCTTTGTTTCGCCCAATTTGGCGCCAGGAGGGTATCCAATGTTCCAAGATAGCCTGCAAGACGGCTCAATATAGCCGAGGATGGCTCAAGACAACTTCCGACATGCCTCCAAGAAGCCCAACGATGACCACAACTCGGCTCCAGGTGCTCTCGGAGCCCCTGCCAGGACCTCTCCCCAAGAGGCCAATGATTGGTGCCTTCTCGCCTTTTTGCTTCAGATATGCTTCTGAGGCCTCAAGATGGCCCAAGAGAACCCCAAGAGGACCCCAAGAGGCCTTCCCCCCCCCCAGAGGGACCCAAGAGCGCCCACGAGCGCCCTCAAGAGAGCCAGTACCACGATACGGTTTTGAAGGCTCTTGAGGGGGGGGCAACCTAGATGAAAGACCACCCGTTCGATCGATGGCCTCAAGAGAGCTCCAAACCCAGCAAAAAAGCCGTAAGAGAGCTCCAAGAGGCGATTTTGAGGACTCTATCCTCATCCTCGCCCTCTTCGTCCTTTTCGTCCTCGTCCTCATCCTAATCGTTCTTGCCCTCATCATCTTCCTCTTCCCTTTTTTTCATCTTCGTCGTCGTGGTCGTCGTCATCTTCTTCCTCCTCGTCCTCCTCTTCCTCCTCCTCCCCTCGCCCCAACGCGGGCCCCAAGGATGGCCCGAAGAGGCCCTCCAAGGCCCCCTCTTGTTCCCAGAGATCTCTCTGTTCACCCTGATTGCCTGCTTTGTTTCACTATATGTGCCTCCTCAACCCTTTTTTCCGTCAACTCCCATTGGCAGGGTTTCTGAATGGACTGGTGGGGATACGCGAGGCGTGAAGGATTGCTAAGACGAGCCTCGTCAAGGTTTCGCAGCTATTCGTTCACCACGTGTTTACCTTCACTCGTTTTCCTTGCTCCTCCATTCTTTCTCTTGCTAATCCCTCTTATCTGCATCCTCATCTGTACTCCCATGCCAATCCTGCGCACCATCGCCCTCGTCGTCCCCCTCGACCTCAACATCCCCACTCTGCTGCACACGCCTCGACATACAACCAGAACGACGCCTTATACAAACCAAGCAAAATCTCAGACTTCTCCTCGCTCCTCATTCCTCCCACTCCTATTCCCAGCCCCCCCCCCGCCGCTCCGCATCCCCAGATCCATGCCCAACCGCTCTGCATAAACGATAAGGTCGGCCATTGCCATGTCCATGGCCATCGCCACGGGTCATGTCGAAACCATGAGCTAGGCCCATGGCCTGGACATGGCCGATCCCACGGCTGGCCATCACTCCGCCCAACCCGTCCAACTCCTTTGCGTCCGACCCCACAGACAATAGTCCTTTCGACTGACTACAATACGCAGAGAATTTAGTTAATCCAGCGAACAATCAGATACGCGTGCACATTCCATTTGCACGAAAGCTCTATAAATAGAACTACTCGTAATCACAACCCAAAGGTCTAAACATAATATGTCAAACCGTGGGCCATGTTTTATGGAACCTATACATTCACAACACGTCGTGGTCAACCCTCTAAATAAGACATCATGCTCTGTATTCGTCTGGATGTATGGCACCGACACCCCACGGATGCATGTATTAGTTTCTGTGGGCCAAGGCCGATCTCCTGAACTGGAAAGAATTGGGGCTTCTGGGTAATCGAACCTTCCATAAAAACAAACGCAACCGCTGTCTCCGTCATCTTAACAACCTTCCGCTAGCGATGCGCCCGACGCTGCGACGCCATCACCGTCAGCCACCAGCCACAGGGCTGGAGGCCCAGCGATGGGCTTCTTCGACGCAGCCGCCCGCTGCCAGCGCAACGACCTCGACTGCGTCGCCACTTCCTTGAGGCTCCTGCCGTGGCTCCACCAGCACCTCTCCTCCAAGAGAGCCCATAGTCGAATCGATGTCGGAGCGGCGATCGAAATTAATCGGATCGGGGAAAATCGGCAACCGAGTCGGGAGAAGTCGAATCCGCAGAAATCGGCAGGCTAGTAAGTCTCCATTGAGACATCGAAATCCACATCGGAATGCGAAGCCGACTCGAATCGGAATCGGGAGCCATCGACATCGAATCGAGCCGAATCGGAGGAATCGAAACGAGCCCCGTCCTGCGCCCTGGCCCCGAGGCACAAGGAAGCGCCTCAGGCCGCCGAGGCCGCACGCCTTCGCCGCACTGCTCCTCGGCGCCCTGCTGCCAGCACGGCCACCTCTGGCGAGGCTGAGTCCAGACGGAGTGATGCAGCCCACACGGAGACCGAGCACTCCGTATGGACTTACTACAAATCCCTCATTAATCGTCCCCCGGGGCCGGTTTTTTAAGTGTAACTGGGGGGTCCGGTTTATTGGGGCGCTTTCTTTGGGTTTGAGCCTACAGGGTCTGGTTTATTAAGGCGCCCCCTCGAAGAGGGGGGTCCGGAATGTTAGGTCGCATTTGGAGGGGGGCGGGTTTTTAGGGGGGGGGGCGAATAATACGGGATTTTGCATACTCAGTGTGGACTTAGCACCCTCCGAGCCACCGGCCCCTCTCGCGGGCGCCCCTCCGGCGGCGGGCCGGAGCGCGGTGGCGGCGCTGCCGTCCCCGCCCGGCTGCCTGGCGGCCGGCGCCGGGCTGCGGCTGCGGCCGCGGCGCGCCGCGTCCAGCGCCGCGCGGTCTGCGGCCGGCGGCGGCGCCGCCAGGAGCCGCAGCAGCGCGGCTCCGCCAAGCGCGGCGCTCGGGACGAGCTGCAGCACCCGGGGCTCCGCCTTCGCGGCCTCGCGGCACTTCCGCTGCACGAGCTGCTGGTAGCGGGGCATGTTGAACTTCGACGCCAGGCCGTTCCGGGTCATCGGCCTGACGGTACCGAAGACGGGCCGCTCGGGGAAGGGTCTGTCGTGGTGCCCGAAGCACCAGGCGATGCCCATGTAACCGTTCTCGTCCCGGCCGTCCACCGAGTACTTATTGTTGAGGCGCACTGCCCAGCGGAATGCAACCCTGGGATCTTCGACCCAAACGATCAACTGCTTGCACCAGTACATCCGCATGTAATTGTGCATGTGGCCTGTCACCACCATCTCCCACTGCGCCGCATTCCAGAGATCGTCCTGCGTCTCACCCCGCTCGAGCTGCTCAAAAGAATACGTGTGGCTGCGCCTATCGCTCATGTGTTGCAGCAGCGTCTCCTGGGCCCAATATGGCAAGCAATCAAAGGTATCGTACGAATCACAATAATGGCAGAAATTGCGGGCAAGCTCGCGCCGGACGATCAGCTCCTCGAGAAAGGCTGCTGCACCATTCGCGACTCCCCCCGCCGAAGCAGGAACTGCAAAGGCTGGGGCGCTGGCTTTGCAACCCTCGTCCAGCCGCTGAGCCGCCCCCCAGACGGATAAGCCGAGCTCCACGGGGGAGATGTGCCCAAAATGCAAATAGGGAGACAGGAACGAGTTGTCCTGCACCGACGGGTCGTTCGCTTTCCCGCTGCCGTACGAGCGCAGCTTCGGCAAGAACGCCTGCTGACCCGCGGTTGAGACCCCAGGCACGGCTCATGTGGCTCACCATGCATGGCGGCAGCCATGGCCGTGGCCGTGCAAGGCTTTCTTTTTTTGTTTTAGGTCGGGCATGTCCCCCCTATAGGCGGATTTGGGACAAATCAAGAATACTCAAAACAAATTCAAACATAGTCAACAAATACTCGAAACATCGCTCCTCTACTATTTTCTGACTATTTTTGAATCCTCCTTCTGTAGAGGGGCATGCCCGACTTCATTTTGGTTGGGGCCAACCGCCGGTCGGCCTCGAGCCTGGCCTGCGCCTGCTGCCGACCGCCCGCGAAGCCGACGGCCGGCGGGACGCTGCTGTCGACGTCGAGCCCCGCCAGCAGGGCCCCGGGGTCGGCAAGGTCGAGAGAGGCAGCCTCCGCCTCGGCAGACAGCGCGAGCTGCGCGGCTCGGTGCTGCACCTGACCGCCCATCACTGGGGCGCACTGCGGTAGAGGGAGAGAACTGCTGAACACTCCCCCTCCCCCCAAACTCAAAGTTGGCACGCGCGGGGGAGACTGCGGTCGAGGTGGAACTCACCGGACCCACCGCCAACTTGAAACATTGGTGGGAAGGGGAGGCGTTGACAGACGGAATGTGGCATGAATGTTCGCTACTTTTCCGAGGCCTGTAGAACATACCAATGCTATGTGTCCTCCTGGGAGGCGTGCGTCCGACCCGAGCATGCAATGCAACCATCCTGCAGTGGATCGTTTCCGGAGCGGTCTGGCCAGAAAGAGCGCACGCCACGGAGCACATGCTCTTAGATGTCTCGGCGCGCACGTCGCCCCTTTTGGGGCGACACACACGCAATATTAGTATGTTTGGGTGGCTCCGAATCGTGATGCCCATGCCCATCCCGGGCCATGGTTCAGGTTGGGCCCGGACCACGCCCAACAAGGGCATGCATCCGCCACCGTGCCACTGGGCAAGGAGTGGGCGTATCCCCAGGTCCTTCCACTACCCCACTGAGCCTCAGTCGCCACTCCTGAGGAGTTCTTACAGGGTTCCGAGCCTCTCAGGCCACATTTTCTTGGGCGGCCCGTTGTTCCCCCGCGATTCCCCCGCGTCTGGTCGCATGACTGTTTCGGACTTGAGAGGGCTCCAGGACGGGCCAAGAGGGCTCCCAAGAGGCCTCCAGCACTGCCCAAGACGGCCTCGAGTCGCCGAACGATCGCCCCGAGACGCCCCAGATGGCCCCCGGACGGCCCACGAGGCCTCCAAGACGCCCTCACAGGTCCCCAAGAGGCCTCCCAAGAAAGCCCCAAGAGGCCAACATCATTGATTTCCATTGGGTCTTTGGTAGATTTTGGCGCTCTCGCTTTTTCGGCTTCCCGACGCTCCCAGACGGCTCCAGAGGCTCACAAGACCGCACCAAAACGGCCCGAGGGCCCCCAAACGACCCAAGACGGCCCCAAGACAGCCCAAGCCGCGCACAAAACGGCCCAAGAGGGCCTCAAGACGGTTCCGAAAGGAGGAGCTCGAACCGAATATCCCAGCCTTCCGCACCAAGAGGCGCCCAGGAGGCCCCAAGAGGCGCCCAGAGGGCACCAAGACGCCCCCAAGAGGCCCCAAAAGAGGCCCCCAGACGGCCCTCAAGAGGCGTCCAAATTGCCTCCCAGAGGCCCCCGAGAAGCCCCCCACGTGATCCCAACGAACATCCAATAGGCTTCCTCCTCCTCCTCCTGCCACGAGCCGTGGCATCTGAGCACAACCCAGGCACGGTGGCGGGATGGGCCGAAGGCCACTCGATCCGCCGCCCCCTGTTGATTCATCACAGGGGTGCCTGGCGTGCTGAACCCTCTCGGTTTTGGTTTTGGTCCTTTTTCCCAAAAGAACTCCCCAATGGGCTCCGGCCCGTCCCGCCGGCCACCCGGAAACTGCATCAGTCAATGCCCAAAACGGCCGTTTCGCTCGGGACATCCTCAACAAATCGCGAAGATGGCCCAAGATGGCCTGCAAGATGCCTCCAAGACAGTCAAGATGGCCTCCAAGACGGCTAAGATGGCCCCAAGATGCATCCAAGACGGCCCAAGATGGCCTCAATATGGTCTAAGACGGCCCAAAAGGCCCACAAGAGGCCTCCAATACGGCCCACGAGACCTCCCAGAGGTCCTCCAGGAAGGGCCGACGAGGCCAAATTCATTGATTTCCCTTGGGTTTTTGAAGGATTTTGGCATTTGTGCCTTTTCGGCTTTCCGACGGCCCGTGACGGCCCCAGAGGCCCCCAAGGTCGCCCCAAGATCGCCCAAGAGGCCCCCAAGACGGCCCCATGACGGCCCAAGAGGCCCCCGAGACGGCCCCAAGAGGGCGCCAAGACGGCCCAAGAGGCCTCGAAGACGCCCAAGATGGCCTCTAAGACGGCCCTGGAGCACCCCAAGAGGGCCCCAAGTCGGCCCAGAAAGGCCCCCGAAACAGCTTCCGACGGCGACAGACGGGCCAGGAGCTCACCAAGAGGGCCGAAGGTGGCTCGCAGCTTGCCAAGACGGCCCAAGAGGCCTCCAAGAGGGCCTCCAGGAAGGCCAGAAAAGAACAAAAAGAGTGATTTTCCTGAGGTTTCTGAAGGATTTTGACATTTGCTTCGTTTCGGCCTTCCGACGGCCCGATACGGCCCAAGAACTCTCAAAGATCGCCCAAGGATCGCCCAAGAGGCCTCCAAGATGGCCCCAGAACGGCCCAAGAGGCCCCCAAGACGGCCCCAAGAGGCCCCCGAGACGGCCCAAGAGGCCTCCAAGACGCTCAAGATGGCCTCCAAGACGGCCCACGAGCCCTTCAAGACGTCCTCCAAGAAGGCCCGAAAGGGTCAAAATGGCCTCCAGGCGGCCAAGATGACCTTCTAGATGCCCACGTGTTCCCAGAAGGCTTTCCAAACCGAGTCGGGGAACACATGGTCCGATCTGTGCAGGTCTGGCATCAACGTTCGGCCACATAGGCGCTTCCACAAAAGCAGGGGGCGGCGGTGATTCGCCGTAGGCGTCTTCGATCCGCCGCCCCCTTGTGGTCTTGCCATATGGGGTGCCTGGCGTGCTGAACCCTGACGCTTTTCGTTTTGGCTTTGGTTTTGGTTGTGTGTGTGTGTGTGTGTTTGTTATTTTCTTTTCTCTTCTTTCCTTTGGTGTTGTTATTTTTTTCTTTTGGTGTTGGCTCTTTTCCGAGAACAGCCCCTCCTGGGGCTTCGGCCTGTCCCGCTGGCCATCCCCGAAGGCTCTGGGCGGGGTGGCTTCTGAGGTTTGCCCTGCTCTGGATGGCTCCAGGATGGCCTCCAAGACAGCCTGCCTCCAAGACGGCCAAGATGGCCTCCACGAGTCCGCCCAATAAGGTTTAAGATGGCCTTGAAGATGGCCCATGAGAGTTCAAAATGCCTCCGAGTCCGCCGACGAAGCCACCTAGGCTGCCCAAGCCGGCTCAAAGATGACCCAAGACGCTCCGATACACCCCCAAGAGGCCTCCAATACGGCCCACGAGACCTCCCAGAGGTCCTCCAGGAAGGGCCGACGAGGCCCAAATCATTGATGTTCATTAGGTGTTTGAAGGATGTTGGCATTTGCATCTTTTCTGGCTCCCGACGGCCCAAGACGGCCCAAGAGCCCTCACAGATCCCCCGAAGATCGCCCAAGAGGCCCGCAAGACGGCCCAAAGAGGGCCCCAAGACGGCCCAATAGGTTCCCGAAACGCCCAAGATGGCATCCAAGACGGCAGCAATGGAGCACCCCGAGAGGGCCCGAAGTCGGCCCAGAGAGGCCCTAAGACGGCGTCCGACGGCGTCAGACGGGCCAGGAGGCCATCAAGACGGCCCAAGATGGCTCGAAGATGGCCCAAGAAGGCCCAAGAGGGCCCAAAGAGGTCTCCAAGACGGCCCAAGAGGCCTACAGGAGGGCCGCCAGGAATGCCCGCAGAGGCCAACCTCGTTGATTGTCCTTGGGTGTTTGAAGAGTTTTGACAGTTGCTTCGTTTTGGGCTCCCGACGGCCCGAGACTGCCCAAGTGCCCCCAAAGATCGCCCCAACATCGCCCAAGGAGCCTCCAAGATGGCCCCAGAACGGCCCAAGAGGCCACCAAGATAGCCCCAAGACGGCCCACGAAGCCTCTAAGACGCAAGACGGCCCTGGAGCACCCCAAGAGGGCCCCAGATCGGCCCAGAGAGGCCCCCAAGACGGCTTCCGACGGCATCAGACAGGCCAGGAGGCCATCAAGACGACCCAAGATGGCTCGGAGATGGCCCAAGACGGCCCAAGAGACCCCCAAGAGGCCCCCAAGACGGCCCAAGAAGCCCCACGTGGCCCCAAGAGGCCCTCAATAGGGCCTCCGGGAGGGCCCGAAGAGGCCCAAATCATTGATGTTCCCTGGGTGTTTGTAAGATTTGTGTTGCATTTGCTTCGTTTTGGGCTCCCGACGGCCCGAGACGGCCCAAGCGCCCCCAAAGATCGCACCAAGATCGCCCAAGAGGGCTCCAATATGGCCCCGTAACTGCCCAAGAGGCCTCCAAGACGGCCCCAAGAGAGCCCCAAGACTGCCCAAGATGCCTCCAGGACGCCCAAGATGGCCTCCAAGACGGCCCTGGAACACCCCAAGAAGGCCCCGAATTGGCCCAGAGAGGCCCCCAAGACAGCTTCCAACGGCGTCAGACGGGCCGGCCGAGGAGCCCCCAACGGCCCCCAAGACGCAAGAGGCCCAAGGAGGCCCCCAAGATGCCTCCAAGAGGCTCCAAGGAAGCTCCCAGGAGGCTCCCAAGATGCCCCCTCCTCCTCCTCTTCCTCCTCCTCCTCCTCCTCCTCCTCCTCCTCCTGATCTTCCCCGCCATCCTCCCCCAAATGTTCCCCGACGGGTTTCTATCACGGCTGGGGGAGCACATGCTCCGATAGCTTGGCAGAGCTCTTGTCACAACGCTCGGCCACATGGGCGACTCCAAAAGGCAGGGGGCGGCGGTGATTCGCCGTGGGCGTCTTCGATCCGCCGTCCCCTGTTGGCTTGCCACAGGGGTGCATGGCGTGCAAGATTTCAGACAATTTTTTAACCATCATTTTTGAACTGCTCCTGGGGCTTCGGCCGATGCCGCCGGCCACCCGGAAGACGTGCCCAGAAGTCGCTGCAAAAGATTGTCCCACCCCAGATAGCTCCAAGATGGCCTCCAAGACGGCCAAGATGGCCTTCACGTTCGCCCAAGATGGTCCAAGATGGCCTCCACGACGGCCCACGAGCGTCCAAGATGCCTCCAAATTCGCCCAAGAAGCCTCCAGCACGGCCCAGGGTGGCTTCAAGATTGCTGCAGATGGCTCTAGAGGCCCCCAAGAGGCCTTCAAGACGGCCCTAGCAAGAAGTCGTCCAGGAATGTCAGAACATGCCAAGTACATTGATTTCCCATCGTTGTTGGAGGATTTGACCATTTGCTTATTTTCGGTCTTCGGACGGCCCAAAACGGCCTCATAGGCCCCGAGATCGCCTCCAGATGGCCCTTGCGGCCTCCAAGATGGCTCCCAAACAACCCAGGAAGCCCCCGAGACGGCCAAGATGGCCCTCAAGTTCGCCCAAGATAGTCCAAGATGGCCTCCAAGACGGTCCAAGATGGCCCCAAGATGCCTCCAAATTTGCCCAAGGAGCCTTCAAGACGGCCCAATATGACCTCACAATGACGGAAGACGGCCCAAGAGGCTTCCAAGAGGTCCTCCAGGAAGGCCCGAAGAGGCCACAATCAATGATTCCCCAATCAGTGCTTGCACTGAAGGGGTCCTAGCAAATATTGAAAGATCTAGCGAATATTCCGGGCCGATTTCGGTGGGCGGCCGGGTTCCCGGATTCCCGGTTCCAAACTCTCGTTTCCGTTTTCCGGGCCGATCTCGGTGGGCGACGGGGTTCCCGGGTTCCCGGGTTCCTGGTCGATCTTCTTATCGATCGGTCTCACCATGGATCTCGTTACCCACCTCTCTGTCGATCACTATCGATCTCACTATCGGTCTCACAATCGACCTCACAATCGTCCTCACTATCGATTGCACTATCGATCTCACAATCGATTTCAATATCCATATCACTCATTTTCAAACCATCCACTGATTGGGTTCTTCTCTGGTGAAATTGTCTCATGTTTTTGTAAGATTTGGGCATTTGCTTCTCTTCGGCCTTCGGACGGTCTCAGACGGCCTCAGAGGCCCCCGAGATCGCCTCCAGATGGCCCTTGCGGCCTCCAAGGTGGCTCAATAATTTAACAGCCCAAGAGGCCCCCGAAAGGGCCCCAAGATGGCCCAATTCGGCCTCTAAGACGACCAAGATGGCCCCCAAGTTCGCCCAAGATGGTCCAATATGGCATCCGAGACAGTCAAAGAGCATCTGAGATGCTTCCAAATGTGCCCAAGAAGCCTCCAAGACGGCCCCAGATGGCATCAAGATGACGGAAGACGGCCCAATAGGCCCCCAAGAGGCCTCCAAGTCTGCCCAAGAGGCCTCCAAGAGTTTCTCCAGGAAGGCCCGAAGAGGCCAAGTTCATTGATTGTCCTTTTGCTTTTGAAGGATGCTGGCATTTGCTTCGTTTCGGCCCTCGGACGGTCCGAGACGGCCCAAGGGCCCTCAAGGATCGCCTCATGATCGCCCAAGAGGCCTCCAAGACGGCCCCAGAACGGCCCACGAGGCCCAAACGAGACCCAACGGGAGCCCCAAGAGGCCAAGACGTCCAAGATGGCCTCCAAGACGGCCCTGGAACACCCCAAGAGGGCCAGAAATCGGCCCAGAGAGGCCCCCAAGATGGCTTCCTACAGCGTCAGACGGGCCAGGAATGCCCCCGAAGATGCCCCCGAGAATCTCCCAAAGACCCCCAAGAGGCTCAAGGAGTCCCCCAAGATGCCTCCAAGAGGCTCCAAGCCAGCTCCCAGGAGGCCCCAAGAGTGCCCCGAGAGGCTCCCAAGATGCCCCCTCCTCCTCCTCCTCCTCCTCCTCTTCCTCCTCCTCCTCCTCCTCCTCCTCCTCTTCCCCGCCATCCTCCCCCAAATGTTCCCCGAAGGGTTTCCACAACGGCTGGGGGAACACGTGGTCCGATAGCTTGGCAGAGCTCTTGTCACAGCGCTCGGCCACATGGGCGATCCCCAAAGGCAGGGGGCGGCGGTGATTCGCCGTGGGCGTCTTCGATCCGCATCATGCTGGGCAGGCACCTCCGTCTCGCGCAGGGGCGCCAGGAACCGCGGCAGCAGCCGCTGCAACTTGGGCCGCAGCGTGGCCGCGGCTGGCTCGCGGCCGGGCGAAGCGAGCTCGACCTGGGCCGCCAGAAGGCAACCGCACCTGCTGCCCGCTGCTGCTGCTGGGCCCCGGGGGGGAGGGGGGCCCAGGGACTCCTAAAGCGGCAGCGGGCATGTATATGCAGCGCAGGGGAATAAGCAACGACATAAACACAACAGCTCGAAGGTACGTTTTCGTTTGCCTTTTTGGCTTCTGTGATCTGAATCAGAAAACAAACGGCACCATCCCACCTACGGCCTCACGGGGCTTAGCGCGTACCCGGAAATCTGACGTGGGCTGTTGAATGGTATACGCTGCGGCGCCCGATGGGCCGTAGCGCAATACGGAGGGCCGCAGGTGGGGCGGTGTCGTTTGCTTTTGTTGGTCGACTATTGATTGATCCCCGACTAGCTCCCCCCGAGCCCACATCGTACCCTTAGGTTGGGCATGTCCTCCTGCAGGCGGATTCTGGAGGAACATTGAACAGCACTCTAAACATATTCAAAAAGTCAAAAATCATTGTTTTGACATCGTCCCCAGACTATTATTGTTCTACTACTTTTGAATATTCCTCCAGTAGAGAGACAAGGAGGAGGAGGAGGAGGAGGAGGAGGAGGAGGAGGAGGAGGGGAGAGGAGGAGGAGGAGGAGGAGGAGGAGGAGGAGGAGGAGGAGGAGGGGGAGGCGGAGGAGGGAGGAGGAGGAGGAGGAGGAGGAGGAGGGAGAGGAGGAGGAGGAGGAGGAGGAGAGGAGGAGGAGGAGGAGGAGGAAGAGGAGGAGGAGGAGGAGGACGAGGAGGAGGAGGGGGAGGGGGAGAGGGGGGGAGGAGGAGGGAGGGGGAGGAGATTATTGACTGCTCCCCGAATCGCTCCCCCCGAGCCCACGTCGCACCCCCCTGGGGGGCGCCCCAAGGCCCGGCCCGCCGCGACTGGTGCGGGCACGGCTTTCGGCGGCGTGCGGCCGGCACGACGACGCTGGTCTCCACCTGCAACACGCGCAGCCCCGGCAGGCGCTGGACCAGCTCCTGTGGACGCCCGACATGGACTACCTGCCAAACCACCCCAGCCCAGCCCGAAGACCCGACCTTCGCCTGAATTTCGGGTGTGGGGGGGGTACGGGCTTCAAATGTTTTTCTCAATCTTCCCCGACCCCTCCCCTGGAAATGGAAAGCAAATCGGGGCCCTCGAGTTGGGTTGGGGTGGTTTGGTGGGCGGTAGGAAATGGGCCCGAGGAAGATGGGCACGATGCCCAACAGCAAATGTTGTCCAGAGCCATCAGCGGCCGCTGTTGGGCAGGAGGGCCTCCTGTCTCGACTGGACAACGTCCGCGGCGACGCGGGCAGCGAGTCCGGTTCAAAACGGACAGGTACGGCTGTTGGACTTTGTGCCCAGTCCTTCCGAGCCCGCTTCGATCGTGCCGAGCGCTCCCGCCGCCAAGCCCGACAGATCTGGGCGTACCTCGCGAGCGGCAAGCACGAGAGGGCAGAGAACCCCCCCACACAAGAATCACCCCGACACGCGGAGCCGTTTCGAAAAAACACCCAAGGAAGGAATCAAACAGGGCAGGGCTGTTCAGCAAACGCCCCGGGCCGTTTGGTAAACGCCACTTGTCGGGTCTGGGTGGTTTTTCCTCCCTTGAAACACATCCGCATCCACGCCTTCGCGGTCTAGACTCCGGCGCGCGATCCCGTGGATACGCGGCCGCATGGATACGTCCCGCGCAAGGCATCCACGACAAAGCGCCCTATCTCCGCCGACCCCTTTTGGCCATCGGCGTGTGAGATGCTTCCCCCTCCCCAAACCCCTCCCCCCGGGGCCCGGTCCGGTCGGTTTGGAGGGGTGGGAGGGTCCGGGCCGGCCCCGGCGGAACGCACCACGGGTCTCACGACGGGCCAGGAGGGCCCCAAGAGGTCCACAAGATTGTCCAAGAGGGCCCCGAGTCGCCGGTGGATCGCTCCAAGACGCCCAGGATGGCCCCCAGACGGCTCAAGAGGCCCCCGAGACGCCCCAAGAGGCCCCCAAGAGGCGTCCCAAGAGGGTGCCCAGAAGCAGAAATCGCTTCATTTCTTTAGGGAAACGTCTGATTTTAGCACATGCGCCTCTTGGGCTTTCACTATATCCAAGATGGCCCAAGAGGCCTCAAGATCGCTCCAAAACGGCCCAGGAAGCCGCCAAAAAGGCTCCAAGACGGCCCCAACACGGCCCAAGAGGCCCCCAAGACGGCTCCATCCAGGAGGGGGCCCAGGCGAGGGACCCGAACGGAAATTTCGAGCCCCTGGCACCAAGAAGCCTCCAGGAGGCCCCAAGATGCCCCCAAGAAGCCTCCAAGAGGCCCACCAGAGGCCCAAAAGAGGCCCCAAAACGGCCCCCCAAAGGCTCCAAAAGCGCTGCCAGGAGGCCCTCGAGAGACCTGCCATGAGCACCCCAAGGGGTCGGCGGTGCGGCGTAAGCCCAAGAATCCACGTCCGGAAGTGACGTGTTGCCGGAGGCAGGTCCGCGGATGCTGTAATGCAACGGATCCAATGTGTCCAATGATTGCATAATTGCTACATATTGTATTGTATTACATTATTATTTCCTCCCCCCTAAACCCCCCCTGGAGTCGCGCCACAGCGCCGTACCAAACTGGCGCCCCCCTTTTGGGGCCCCAAAACGTACCAAAACGTATGGGAAATCAATGATTTCGGCACATTGGCCCTCTTGGGGGTCTCAACGGGCCCCAAGACGGCTCCAGATGGCCCCAAGACGGCCCAAGACGGCCCTAAGACGGCCCGAGATGGCCCCAAGAGGGCCCAAAAAGAACCCAAGACGGCCCAAGAGGGCTCCAAGAGCGCCCACAAGAGCGCCTCCAGAGGCCAAAAACATTGATTTTCCTTACGTTTTTGAAAGATTTTAGCTTTCTCGCCTTTTTCGCCTCTCCGAAGCCCATGACGGCCCGAGCAGCCTCCAAGATGGCCCCAAGAAGGCCCAAGAAACACCCAAGGGGGCCCCAAGACGGCCCCAGAGGGCCACAAGACGGCCCAAAGAGGCCCCCCAAGACGGTCCAAGAAACCCCTGAGACGGCCCAAGAGGACCCCAAGAGGGCCCCAAGGCGGCCGCGAGAGGCCCCCGAGACGGCCTCCGAACGGCGCGAAAGCGCCCCAAGACGGCCCAAGACGCCCCCAAGAGGCCCCAAGAGGCCACCAAGAGGCCCCCAAATGGCACCAAAAAGCCCCCCAGAGACCTCCGAAAAGTCCCCAAGAAGCCTCCAAAAGGCCCCAAAGAAGCCCCCCAAAGGCCACATAGCGACTGGAGTGTAATATTATTTCCCCCCCTGGACGAACTGCGGCGCAGCGCCAGCCAGGTGGAAGTTGGTCACGGCGGCGCCCATGATTAGAGCCAGCGCTGGAAGGGAAGATGGGGAGGGAGTCAAAAAAGGGGGGGAAGAGGCCAGAAGAAGTCCCCAAGAGGCCCAAAGAAGCTCCCAAGAGGCCTCCAGGAGGCCCCCAAGAGGCTCCCAGAAGGCCCCGCGACGTGACTGTACGTGCTCCGGACGTGCACCCCGCGAAGCGAGAGGAATCAACGGGGTCGCGGCCAAGGGGCCCAGCCCGCGAGGCCGTGGATACACACAGATATGCACGTCGCCCATGAGCACCCGCGGTCCTCGAGGCCGCCCAAGGGAAGGTCGGAACAGATGGGGTCGGAGGATCGCGCCGCATCGCCGATGCATCGGCGATGCAGAAGTGGAGTCGGCGATGCATCGGCGCCGTCTGCGTGGAGAAAGTCGGGCTCCACATCGAGCCGCACTGGCGATGCATCGGCGGTGCGGCGCGATCCTCCGACCTCATCTGCTCTGACCCTATTGCTTCTGATAGAGACAATGTCGCAGCGAAGAGTGCCAACGCACAAGGCGCACAAGGGGTCTTGTGCAAGGGGGCCGTATCGATCGTGCCTATCCTGCGCCTCCTCCTTATCCTGCACATGCACGCGCGCGCGGACCCAGTCCCGAGGGCATTCACGAGCGCCCCGCACAAAACGCACAGCGTCCCCCGCGTAAGGACTCCGCACAGGACTCGCGCAAGCACTCCTTCTATTCAGACCAGTCTTTGGGAGTCTCAGATGGCCGCGGTCCACGACCACGCACGCCGCCTCTCGGGCGAGCCCGCTGGCCACGTCGGGCGGCGCGCCGCGCTGGCACACCAGGCGGACGCCCCGCGAGGCAAGGGCCGCGGCTGCGTCCCGCAGGCCCTCCAGCAAGAAGCAGAGGGACCGCTCGTTCGCGTCGGGGAACCGCTCGCACAGCCCGTAGCACGCCAGCACGGGCAGGCTCAGCGCATTGGCCTCCTGTAGCGGGCAGAAAAACCGCCCTCATAATACGCGCCCCGATGAGCGAAGCCACCTAGCAAGCGCACCCGAGGGCAGGGCGGGGCCGTTTGGCAGACGCCCAGGGCTGTTTAGTAAACGCCATTCGTGGGGGGTGAGGGGTGGGCTTTCCTTCCCAGATCCTGGATCGCCTTCTCCACAGCGTGGTTGCACGACGCACGCACGTCCTGCTGGACCCACAACAGGACGTAGCGGGCACACCGCTGGGGAGGGTGGTCGCTCAGGACCTGCACGCGCCCAGGGTCCACCGAGCTCATGGCGGGGCGGCGAAGGAGAAATGCGGCGGCATGCTTCGCGCTCAGACTGCTGCAGATCAGACCAGGACGTTGCCTACGATGCTGAGCGCGCGGTGGAAATCGCAGAGGATGCAGCATCCCAACGACCCGAAGGCGGCCGCAAAGCCTCGCGGCATTACACCACGACTCGCACAGCTCACGGCACGCATTTCCTGGCCACACTTGCTACAAAGCGTCGCTGTGGCTCGCCAAGTTGTTGTCTTTCAGCGCCCCTCTAACGGGGACTCCACTAACAGGTACTTTGGCCAGTGACCTGGCGAACCCAATCCTCCCCGCTGTGGCCGACGCTGCAGTGCCAGGGCCCTGAAGTGGCAACTTCGGGCGATTTTCCAAAGAACCCGTTGGTGAGTACAGTCAACCAATACAGTAAGAATGCGCGATAAGGATGCAAGGGCCTTGGACGCCCATTTCGAAGCTTTTCGAGCGGGGCGCGGCCAGCGAAAGCGGCGAAGGATGAATCGAGGAGGCAAGGATGCAAGGGTACCCTTGGAAAAATGCCCCATCCTCACTATCATGGTTGACTGCATCCGTTACAATGCCGCTGAGTCTTTGTGCCGCCCTGCACGCCGGCACAGCATGCTGTTGCGATTCGGTCACGGGCCACGCCGATTCGCGCAGACTTGGCGGCATGCCCTGTGCCTGGGCGTGCGCATCATGCGAATGCCTACCACGTGCTCTGTGGCTCTCAACCATGCGTGCGTGCGTGCGTGCGTGCGCGCGTGCGCGTGCGCGTGCGTGTGCGCGTGTGTGTGTGTGTGTGTGTGTGTTTGTGTTTGCGTGTGTGCGCGTGCGTGCGTGCGTGCGTGCGTGCGTGCGTGCGTGCGTGTGTGTGTGTGTGTGTGTGTGTGTGTGTATGTGTGTGTGTGTGTGTGTGTCTGTGTGTGTGCGTGCGTGCGTGCGTGCGTGCGTGCGTGCGTGCGTGTGTGTGTGTGTGTGTGTTTGTGTGTGTGTGTGTCTGTGTGTGTGAGCGTGCGTGCGTGCGTGCGTGCGTGCGTGCGCGCGTGTGTGTGTGTGTGTGTGTGTGTGTGTGTGTGTGTTTGTTTGTTTTGTGTGTGTGAGAGAGAGAGGTTGTTTCCACTACTGCTTCAGTGCTACGGTGCGATTTGTCAAGCACGCCACCTCGACACATTGGAATGCTTTGGGACGATGCTTGATGACGGTAAACCGAGTCGGGTGATTGCTTGCCTTGTTGCCGATGTGACTATTTGCGAAATCCTGCATGCAATGATGTGAACTGCTCACGGAGTGGCACTTCAAGCTCCGAACCCGCCGATAACACATCGAACCATTATCGGGGGAAGAGGCGGGCCGCTGGTCATAGCTTCGGGCCTGAGTAACGCCGACATTTGCATCAAACGAGCTCGCGAGATCAAACAACTCAAGATGTAAACAACACTGGGGCTCGCGGCAAAGTTTCACAACCAACCGTGCAGCACGACGGCCGTGGAACGACAATCAACAATGAGTTGCTGATGCCCGTTGCACTTGACTTACTTGATACATCTGCGATTCACGAATGTGGGCTGCTGAACGACTCTTCTGTCCCACACCATCCCCCATCGAAATCCGTGTTGCCGCGTCAGCCCCCGCATGCCCCTTCTCCACGATACCCCCTCCGCCGAAATGGCTCTTTCCGCAGTGGCCGTGCCCCAAATTGCACTTGCTGCGTTGGCCGATGTCGGCCCTTGGGTGTTACCAAATGTGCTCCTGTCCCACGGCATCACCAACATTCCGCGGCACTCTGAAGCCCCTGGGCCACCTGGTGCCTCTCGAGGGGTACTCTGGATACAGAGGTGGCTTCCCTGGCAGCCCTCGGGACACCCTGGTCCAGGGCCACCTCTGGACAGCACCGGCAGCAAACGGGGGAGGACAACTGCGACGGCACGGACTAGAACTATAACCAACTATAGAAAAAGAGAGGTACACTTTCGGAGGTCCGCACGCACGCCTTGGGTCAGCGCTGGGCGCGCCAGGGGTGGCGCTGGAAGCGCTGCCCGGGTGGCGCAGCGCCGACCCAAGAAGTCCACGCGGACCTCCGAAAACGTATGTTACGCATGCTGGGGCGGCAAAGGGCGACGAAAGGCGACAATGTCTGGCGGGGCGCGCACAATTACCGTGAAAGACTCGGTCCTGAAGGAAACGGGTCCTGGTCCCCAAGGCCTTTCCCCTGGGACCAGATTCTCGCTCAAAATTATTACTTGACGGTCCTGGGCCATGGTAGGCCAAAAAGGCCAGAAAACGGTGAAAACTCTAGAGTCCCTTGCCCATGTAAATAGCAGGGGACGGAAACGGTAGCCGTGCCTGGACGGAGTGGGCGTGTTAAAATGCCTCGTCTGTTGTCTGGGAGTGATTTTGCTTCCAAGCCATCCTGAGAGACGGCGGCTTGCGTTCCTTCCTTCCTCCCTCCTCCCCCTCCTCCTCCCCCTCCCCCTCCCTCCTCCCTCCTCCCCACGAGTGCCCGCATCTGTTTCGGTATACCCCTCATACGTTCCTTGGCCCCAAAGGGATCTTCACCGACGGCCCCAGTAGCTGCGTTCGCATGCGACCGCCACACTCACAAGGGCACACCCTCACACGTTTCATGACTCCATAGGGAACTCCACCGACGGCCCCAGTGGCTGCGTTCGCATGTGCCCACCACACCCATTTCGGCACACCCCGCACACGCTTCGCGGCCTCACAGGGAGCTCCACCGACGGCCCCAGTGGTTGCGTCCGCATACGCTCACAGCATCTATTTTGGCACGCCCTTCACACGTTTCGTGTTCCCATAGGGAGCTCCACCGACGGCCCCAGTGGCTGCGTTCGCATGCGCCCGCCGCACCCATGTCGGCACACCCATCACACGCTTCATGGCCCCATCGGGAGCCCCACCGACGGCCCCAAAGGCTGCGTTCGCATGCGCCCACCACACCCGCTTTGGCACACAACTTACACGCTTTATGGCCCCATAAGGAGTTCCACCGACAGCCCCAGTGGCTGCCGTTCGCATGCGCCCGCCGCACCCAGGTCGGCACATCCATCACACGCTTCGTGCCCCAATAGGGAGCTTCACCGAAGGCCCCAAAGGCTGCGTTCGAATGCGCCCACCGCACCCATTTTGGCACACCATCACACGCTTGGCGGCCCCATAAGGGGGCTCCACCGAAGGCCTCAGTGGCTGCGTGCGTATGCGCCCGTCGCACACACTTCGGCACACCCCTCACACCCCGCAGAAGATTCGCGGCCTCATAGGGAGCTCCACCGACGGCCCCAGTGGTTGCGTTCGCATGCGCTCATCGCACCTACTATGGCACACCCTTCACACGTTTCGTAGCCCCTCAGGGAGCTCCACCGACGGCCCCAATGGCTGCTGTCGCATGCGCCCACAAAACCCGTTTTGGCACACCACTCACACGTTTCGTGGGGCCCTTTAAGGGGACTCCTCCGAATGCTACAGCGACGGTGCCCACAACTGCATATGTTTGGGTCCTTCGCCAGGCTAATGTTTTCTAGGTTCCCCCCCTCGCCGCGCGCATCCCTTGGAAATCGTCCCCTATGGAATTGGAATCCGGCGTTCTTTTCGACTCCCAAACAGCCATGATAGTCTCCATGACGGCTTCCAAGACAATCGAGATGACACCAAAACGGCCCAAAATGGCCCAAGACGCCAGTCAACCAGTTCGGCACACCATTCACACGTTCCGTGGCCCCATAGGGAGCTCCACAAACGGCCCTAGTGGCTGCGTTCGCATGCGCCCGCCGCACCAATTTCGGTACACCCCTCACACGCTTCGTGGCCCCATAGGCAGCTCTACCGACGGCCCCAGCAGCTGCGTTCGTTTGCGCCGGCCGCACATATTTCGGCACACCCCTCATACGTTCCGTGGCCTCATGGGGAGCTCCACCGAAGGCCTCGGTGGCTGCGTTCGTACGCGCCCGCCGCAATCATGTCGGCACACCCTTCACACGATTCGTGGCCCTATATGGAGCTCCACCGAAGGCCCCACCAGCTGCGTTTGTATGCGCCCGCCGCGCAAATTTTGGCACACCCCTCGTGCGCTCCGCAGAAGGAGCTCCACTGACGGCCCCAAAGGCTGCGTTCGCATGCGCCGACCACACCCACTTCGGCACACGTTTCGCACGTTTCGTGGCCCGACACGGAGCTCCACCGACGGCCCCAATGGCTGCTTTCGCATGTGCCCGCCGCACCAATTCTGGCACACCCCTCACACGCTTCGTGGCCCATATGGAGCTCCACCGAAGGCCCCAGCGGCTGCGTTCGCATGTGCCCGCCGCACACAGTTCGGCATACCCCTCACACGTGTCATGGTCCCATCGGGAACTCCACCGAAGGCCCAAATGGCGGTGTTCGCATGCGTCTGCCGCACCTTTTTTCCCAAACATCGTGTGATGTTGGGTTCTCGCTTTCAAAAGACACCGCCCCGCGTCTCCTTCCTTCCTCTCTTCCTCTCCTCTTTCTCATCCCGCTCCTCCTCCTCCCGCTGCTCTCTATCCCCTTGCGCCTCTCAAACGCTTTGTGGCCCCTTGGGGAGCTCCACCGACGGCCCGAGTGGTTGTTCGCATGCGGCCACCGCACCAATTTCGGCACACCCTTCACACGCTTCGTGGCCCCATAAGCAACCCCACCGACGGCCGCAGTGGCTGCATTCGCATGCGCCCGCCGCACCCATTCTGGCACACCCTTCACACGCTTCGTGGCCGCATAGGGAGCTCCACCTGGCTGCGTTCGCATGCGCCCACCGCAAACATCTCGGCACACCCATCACACGTTTCGTGGCCCCATATGGAGCTCCACAGACGGCCCAATCGCTGCGTTCGCATGCGCCGACCACACCCGTTTCGGCACACCCTTCACACGTTGCGTGGCCCCACAAGGAGCTCCACCGACGGCCCCAATGGCTGCGTTCGCATGCGCCCGCCGCACCGATTCCGGCACACGCCTCACACGCTTCGTGGCTCCATAGGGAACTCCACCGACGGCCCGTTGCTGCGTTCGCATGCGCTCATCGCACCCATTTTGGTACACCCCTCACACACCTCGTGGCCCCATAGGGAGCTCCACCGACGGCCCAATCG